AGAAGGCCCGAGTCAGAAGAATGGGCTGGGCCGAATTCTTAATAGTTTCGTTTTGACTCGGTCGAGTCAGAGTACTGACTCGGTCCGAGTCAAAACCCAGAAAAAGCCCAGATTCGAATTTTCAGAGTTTGATCGGGAATAGGACTTCAGGAGCGCCGCCTAGGGTTATAAAAAGACTCTACAGACGTCCAAAAGAGACACACAGACTTTATACAGACTTTGGAGAGCTTTGGTGAGAGAAATAAGAGTTTTACGGGATTTCGGGAAGAAGAAGGAGAGTTGGAACGTGAAGATCGCTTGCTGTCGACATGAGTCTTTCTTCTCCCTCTTTTCTTTCTATTTCTGGTTTTATTCTGTGTTTTTCCATGAACCGTGAGTAGATCCACGGCTGTGGGTTAGGGATTCGTTTGTGTTTTGGGTATGTTTGAACCCTAACTTGGTTGCGATTTGGATTTGTTTTGGTTCTATCGATTTGTGCTTTATTCGATTGGTGTTTGCTGACCCCTTGGCCAATTATTTCAGATTCTGAACTACATAGGAATACGGGTTTAGTTTCGGATCGAAATTGATAGAATAGATTGTATTATTCACATAGGAATATGGTTTGATCGATCTAGGATTGATGATAGTGTTCTTCATGCATCTAGTTTGATAAATCACATAGGGATATGGATTTAGAGAACTTTAGATAGTGAGTTATATGCCGGGAGGTGATTTCTCTATCTTTGTTGCTTGACGATTCCCGAATACAGATTCAATATCGTGATTCTCGCATGCTTAGCATATACCCATACACGCGAATACGGTCCCGACACCCACGGTCAACTTAGATTGCTAGCTTACTCGTTTTCATTGCTTTATTTCCTTATTTCCTATTATTTCCATATACTTCCACCATCACTTTCACTTGCTTGCTTTGATTTAATCTCGATTAGGATTTAGATTTAGCTACAGGTCCTTGCGTTCGACCCCGTGTTACGACGATCCGTATCCTTGCGGTGAGTTGTGAATCGGGTATAAATTCTAGACTCGGTACACACGTATCAACAGCCTCTTTATAGGTTCGAGGTTCTGTTTCGGTAGTAGTGTTTAGGACAAAGGTTTTATAGAATGGATTAAGATTGTCATATGTCAGGTAGGATGATATAGGGAATGAAGTGGAGGGTTTAGAGGAGTCATCAAACTGATAACAATGATAATCCTCCAAGTATTTTGGTTGTTTGGTTGCTCTTTGAGGTCGTTCAGAAGGGATGGGTATATCTGGTTCAGAGGAAATGAAAATATTTGGTTCAGGTAACTCTGATTCAACAACATGATCAGAAGGTAAAGGTGTATTATGTTCATGAGGATCGGGATTATGAGGTTCAGCTTGAAAATGTTCAGGATTTGGTTGGTCAACAGGTTCAGATATAGGTGTATTATGAAAGGGTAAGACTGTCGAAGGAAACAAATTGTTTTGATCAGAATGATCTTTAGCTAGGAAAGGAAAAATATCCTCATGAAAAGTAACATGGCGAGAGATAACAATCAGTCCAATATTGCAAAGGAATATTAGACTGGAAAAACAAAGACCTTGCCACATTCAGAATATGTTGGTGCTTCCTCTCCACCACGGAGTTCTGCTGGGAGTATATGGACACGAATAATAGTGCAATAACCCTTTTTCTTTGAAGAATTATGTAAACTCTGGTGCATTATCAGATCGAATGGCCTTCACCTTTACTGTAAATTGCCTTTCAACAAGCGAGATAAACTGAGGAATTATAGCCTTTACTTCACTTTTCTGTCTTAACATGTACACCCAAGTAGTTCTAGAATGATCATCAACAATTGTCACAAAGTATTTGTATCCATCAATAGAAACAACTGAAAAAGGACCCCAAATGTTTATATGTAAAAGATCGAATATGGAAGAGGCTACATGATTGTTAGAGACAAAAGGAAGATGCCTCTGCTTTGCCAAATGGCATGTATTGCAGTGCGTTGGTTCAGTTATTTTGCTAAGGTTGAGAATAGAAGAGAGGTTCTTTATTTTCTGGATGGATGGATGTCCAAGCCTCCTATGCCAGACTGTGAAGTCAACACGGAGAGCATTGCACATCTGAGTTTGAGGTGTGGGTGTGAAAGAGTCTGAATTGAGAAGGTACAGACCACAATGCAGGTCAGCCTTCCCAATCTTCAAGCCCGGAATAGATGCCTGGAGGATACAAGACGTGGGGGTAAAAGAAAGATTAAAATTGTTATGAGATAAAAGGGCAGAAACATTGAGGATGTTAAAAGAAAAAGATGGAACAAGTAAGACATTTTGTAAGACTATGTGTTGATTGATCATTGCTTTCCCTGCTTGAGTGACTGTTAGTCGAGATCCATTAGGTAGACTAATAGAAACAGGAGAAATAGTTCGTATATCATGCATCAGAGAGCTATGGGCACAAACATGAGTTGTGGCTCCTGAGTCTATTATCCAAGTATCATTGGTATCTTTCATATGTATATCAGCTGAAACAGAGGATAGAATCAGATGATTACCAGAGGAAGTGACGTTTTCTGGAGCACCATTTTCTGTGATACTTGGGCTAGAGATGTTTAGAGCAGCCCCAAGCTTGTAGAAAAGCTGATGAAGTTGTTGAGTTGACAATGCTCCAACATCAGAGACCTGATTCTGATCCATAACTGGTTCAGTAATCACATTTGCAATGGTTCCTTTGTTCTGAAAGTTGTTCTTTCCTTGTGGCGTAAATGTCTTCTGAACAGGCACTGAATTTTGAGACTGAGGATTCCGAGGAATGTATCCTGGTGGATATCCATGCAACTTGTAGCATTTGTGTACTGTGTGACCATAAAGGCCACAGTGAGTACATAAGGGACGCTGACGAGGCTTGTAAAAACCTCCCGCAACTGCTGCAACATTCTCGGTATGTTGAGGTTGAACAGGGGTTTGAAATACTGATGTATCAGTAAGAATTGGATTCTTGATCATCTTTTGCTGTTCATGTTTTACAACAATACCAGAAGCTTTCGCAAGATTTGGTAAAGGATCCATAAGGATGATATGATCACGAACAGGTTCAAAGACGTCATTCAGTCCACAGAGAAACTGAAACACAAAATCTTCTTCAAACAAATCTCTCCACTTTTTATCAACTCCGCAAGAACATGTTCCACATGAACATATTGGAGAAGTCTGAACCGATTTTAATTCTTCCCAGATAGTTACCAATTTTGTGTAGTATGTAGAAACGTCATCATGACCTTGACGAAGAGAATTCAACTTTTGTTCGATGCGATATCGACGAGAAACATCAGCTTGTTGAAAACGATTTAGCAGATTCTTCCACATATCATTCGCTTTCTTGAAGTAAAGTAGACTTTCAGCAATTTGTTCAGAAACGGAATTCATGATCCAGGAACATACCATAAAGTTGTTCTTCTTCCATAGCTTGGATTCTGGATCTGAATCCGGCGGTTGAGCAAGTGTCCCGTCAATGAAACCAAGTTTATTGCGTCCTTCTAAAGCCATCGAGAAGGAGAGATTCATGAATTGAAATTGTTGCAGCCGGTTAGGCGATGAGAAGCCAGAACGGAGTTCGTCTGATCAGTGGAGCTGAGATAATACGGACTGAAGCAATCCGTCACACTCGGAATTGAGGAAGAAGACGCGGCAGCCATTGTACCGGGAAAACACCAAGAAATTTCTCGGGAAAATCAAGGAAAGAACGAATCGAGAAAAGAAACTCACAAGGGCTCTGATACCATTTCACAATTGAAAAAAACAGAGAACAAAGGAATGCGAAAAATGAACTGATAACTTTATTTCTGATGAATGAACAACATATATACAAGCCTCTTTCTAACTAACTCCAATCCGTACAATGAATGTCGTCGTATTCTCGGTATTATTCGAAGAGAGTTAGTTATGCTGACGTGGCATAAGTGATAATAATAAAAATCGGATAAATTCATAAAGTTCTCAAAAAACTCGATAAAAATACTCTTAATATTCACTTGTATATGTTTGAATGATATATATTACAAATAAGAATTGAGATGTTTTAACTTAAACAAAGAAGAGACACACTAAATGTTGAATAAAGATAATTTATTGAAATTTTTTATTCTTGATTGGTCAGCGTCTATACATTTTGAAAATTGATTGACAGTTATGACTTTTCATTACCATTATTTTTTATTTTTGTATTTTGATCGGAAAATAGATATTTTGTTTCACGTTTATAACATTCTGTCTTAACATGTACACCCAAGTAGTTCTAGAATGATCATCAACAATTGTCACAAAGTATTTGTATCCATCAATAGAAACAACTGAAAAAGGACCCCAAATGTTTATATGTAAAAGATCGAATATGGAAGAGGCTACATGATTGTTAGAGACAAAAGGAAGATGCCTCTGCTTTGCCAAATGGCATGTATTGCAGTGCGTTGGTTCAGTTATTTTGCTAAGGTTGAGAATAGAAGAGAGGTTCTTTATTTTCTGGATGGATGGATGTCCAAGCCTCCTATGCCAGACTGTGAAGTCAACACGGAGAGCATTGCACATCTGAGTTTGAGGTGTGGGTGTGAAAGAGTCTGAATTGAGAAGGTACAGACCACAATGCAGGTCAGCCTTCCCAATCTTCAAGCCCGGAATAGATGCCTGGAGGATACAAGACGTGGGGGTAAAAGAAAGATTAAAATTGTTATGAGATAAAAGGGCAGAAACATTGAGGATGTTAAAAGAAAAAGATGGAACAAGTAAGACATTTTGTAAGACTATGTGTTGATTGATCATTGCTTTCCCTGCTTGAGTGACTGTTAGTCGAGATCCATTAGGTAGACTAATAGAAACAGGAGAAATAGTTCGTATATCATGCATCAGAGAGCTATGGGCACAAACATGAGTTGTGGCTCCTGAGTCTATTATCCAAGTATCATTGGTATCTTTCATATGTATATCAGCTGAAACAGAGGATAGAATCAGATGATTACCAGAGGAAGTGACGTTTTCTGGAGCACCATTTTCTGTGATACTTGGGCTAGAGATGTTTAGAGCAGCCCCAAGCTTGTAGAAAAGCTGATGAAGTTGTTGAGTTGACAATGCTCCAACATCAGAGACCTGATTCTGATCCATAACTGGTTCAGTAATCACATTTGCAATGGTTCCTTTGTTCTGAAAGTTGTTCTTTCCTTGTGGCGTAAATGTCTTCTGAACAGGCACTGAATTTTGAGACTGAGGATTCCGAGGAATGTATCCTGGTGGATATCCATGCAACTTGTAGCATTTGTGTACTGTGTGACCATAAAGGCCACAGTGAGTACATAAGGGACGCTGACGAGGCTTGTAAAAACCTCCCGCAACTGCTGCAACATTCTCGGTATGTTGAGGTTGAACAGGGGTTTGAAATACTGATGTATCAGTAAGAATTGGATTCTTGATCATCTTTTGCTGTTCATGTTTTACAACAATACCAGAAGCTTTCGCAAGATTTGGTAAAGGATCCATAAGGATGATATGATCACGAACAGGTTCAAAGACGTCATTCAGTCCACAGAGAAACTGAAACACAAAATCTTCTTCAAACAAATCTCTCCACTTTTTATCAACTCCGCAAGAACATGTTCCACATGAACATATTGGAGAAGTCTGAACCGATTTTAATTCTTCCCAGATAGTTACCAATTTTGTGTAGTATGTAGAAACGTCATCATGACCTTGACGAAGAGAATTCAACTTTTGTTCGATGCGATATCGACGAGAAACATCAGCTTGTTGAAAACGATTTAGCAGATTCTTCCACATATCATTCGCTTTCTTGAAGTAAAGTAGACTTTCAGCAATTTGTTCAGAAACGGAATTCATGATCCAGGAACATACCATAAAGTTGTTCTTCTTCCATAGCTTGGATTCTGGATCTGAATCCGGCGGTTGAGCAAGTGTCCCGTCAATGAAACCAAGTTTATTGCGTCCTTCTAAAGCCATCGAGAAGGAGAGATTCATGAATTGAAATTGTTGCAGCCGGTTAGGCGATGAGAAGCCAGAACGGAGTTCGTCTGATCAGTGGAGCTGAGATAATACGGACTGAAGCAATCCGTCACACTCGGAATTGAGGAAGAAGACGCGGCAGCCATTGTACCGGGAAAACACCAAGAAATTTCTCGGGAAAATCAAGGAAAGAACGAATCGAGAAAAGAAACTCACAAGGGCTCTGATACCATTTCACAATTGAAAAAAACAGAGAACAAAGGAATGCGAAAAATGAACTGATAACTTTATTTCTGATGAATGAACAACATATATACAAGCCTCTTTCTAACTAACTCCAATCCGTACAATGAATGTCGTCGTATTCTCGGTATTATTCGAAGAGAGTTAGTTATGCTGACGTGGCATAAGTGATAATAATAAAAATCGGATAAATTCATAAAGTTCTCAAAAAACTCGATAAAAATACTCTTAATATTCACTTGTATATGTTTGAATGATATATATTACAAATAAGAATTGAGATGTTTTAACTTAAACAAAGAAGAGACACACTAAATGTTGAATAAAGATAATTTATTGAAATTTTTTATTCTTGATTGGTCAGCGTCTATACATTTTGAAAATTGATTGACAGTTATGACTTTTCATTACCATTATTTTTTATTTTTGTATTTTGATCGGAAAATAGATATTTTGTTTCACGTTTATAACATTCTGTCTTAACATGTACACCCAAGTAGTTCTAGAATGATCATCAGAACCGAATCCACGAGAGCATGTCAATGCTATTCAGCTTATAAATGGAGAGAACCTGCATGATACAGTCCCTCTGACCACAGAAAAAAGGATGAAGTCTAGATACACTGCAGAAGAGAAAGGGAAAGTCATAGATCACGAGACACCTAAGGTGCATATAGAGGAAGCCGAACCGCCATATGTAGCTCCTCCACCTTATGTACCA